CATCAGGCTCCTTGTTCTGTGGGGAGCCTTCTTCTCCCTCTCCTCCCCACTTGTGCTCTCTCTTACTATCTCTGTCTCTCTCTCTCAAATAAATAAATAAAATCTAAAAAAAAAATTAAAAAAATGGGCAGAGATACTGATTAGGTATTTTTCCAAAGACACATACAGTGGTCAATGTAAACATGAAAAGATACTCAACATCACTAATCATCAGAGAAATGCAGATCAAAACTATAACCTTACACCTGTCAGAATGGCCAGTATCAAAAGACAAGAAATAAGTTGGGTGATGATATGGAGAAAAAGGAACCCCTGTGCACTGTTGGTGGGAATGTAAATTTGTGCACCAATTTGGAAAACAGTATAGATGTTCTTCAAAAAATTAAAAATATAAATATTATATCAATAATTCCACTACTCAGTATTTACCCCCAAAAATGAAAACATGAAGTCAAAAGATATATTCACCCCTACATTTATTGCAGAATTATTTTTTTATAATTTTTTAATTATGTTAGTCACCATACAGTACATCATTAGTTTTTAATGTTGTGTTATTTACAGTAGCCAAGATATGGAAGCAATCTGAGTCCATTGAAAATATATATACATATATATATATGAATATATATATATTCAGTCATCTTATTCAGTCATAAAAAAGGATGAGATTTTACCATTTGCAAAGCAGGGAGGGACCTAAAATGTATTATGCTAAGTGAAAAAATCAGACAAAGATAAATACCATATGATTTTACTCATTTGTGGAATCTTAAAAAAAATGAAATAAACAAATGAAAAACAGAATCATTCTTGTTAGAGAACAAGTCGGTGGTTGCCGGTCGGGGGATGGGCAAAATGGGTGAGGGTGCTGGGAGATATAGCCTTCCAGTTATGGAATGAATACATCACAGGAGTAAAAGGTACAGCATAAGGAATGTAGTCAATGATATTGTAATAGTGTTGTATGGTGACAGATGGTAGCTATACTTGTGGTGAGCATAACATAATGTATATACTCATGAAATCACTGTCTTGCACACCTGAAACTAATGTTCATTGATTGTCAACTACACTTGAATAGAAAAAAAATTTCAAAAATAAGTCTTGGAAGAACTGTAAGTGCATATTTCTAAGTGAAACAAAGCCAGTCTGAAAAAAAAATAGTGTATGATTCCACCTATGGCATTGAGGGAAAGACATATCTATAGAGACAGTAAAATCCAAGGGTAATAATGAAAGGATAAATCTGTAGAATGCAAGGGATTTTTAGGGCAGTGGAACTGATCTTTATGATACCTAAAAGATTGATACGTGATATTTTGCATTTGTGAAGAGCCATACAATGTGCAACACAAAGAATGAACACTAATACAAACTATGTACTGTAGTTAGTAAGCATGTATCAATATTGATTCATTAATCATAGCAAACATACCACACTAATACAAGATGCTAATAAGCAGAGAAACTGCTGGTGGAGAGGAGATATATGGAAATTCTGAGTAATTTCTGCTCATTTTTTCAGTAAACCTAAAACTTTTTTAAAAGTGAAGTCTATTGATTTAAAAAGGAAGTACTTTTACCATACCCAAAGAAATACGGTTAAAGAGGTAGATTCCAGATAGAGGCATGAATAAGAGTAAGCTAAGGTGAATTCAAATTGTAGAATGCTGCAATTAGAGAACTAGAGTAGAGCATACATAGAGGAATATCCTGAGATAACGAAGCTAGAAAAGTAACTTCACATGGAACCAAAGAGCTTATATTTTATTTTGGAGACATTAAGTAGCCACTAAAGTCCTAAAATTGGAGTGGAAAAGCAAATGAAATGGCATAGGAGAACCAATCAGAAGACAGGGTACCAAACAAGTATGATAGGATTGGTACCTGACTAGAAATGGCAAGATGTTACAGAGGTCAACATGACTTGGTAATCAAATGAGTATGGGATTTTAGGAGAGTTCGAGTATTACTGAAGTTTGTAGCCTTAATAGCTAGGAAGAGGTTGTGCCATTCACTTACATAAAAGTTATAAGAGTTGCTGGAATACCAAGATGCTTTAGAAATAATGCTTACAGTAGCTAGCATGATGACCTTGGGGTTAACAGGAAAGAGAGACCCATTTTGGTGATTTTAAAAAATAATTTAATTACCATACTATTAAAAGTCTATACATTTCAGGCATATTACTAAATGAGCCAGACTGTTAGAGCGTGGTATAGTTTTGATGGCTCTTAATTTAATGTTTTCAACTCTGGTAAAAGGTTGACTTACATAATTCAATATCTGCATATGCTTTGCATGTGCAGCTCATATGGGGTCACTGTTAAACTAGCCAGTGATGTAAATATTAGCTTAGAGTCTAGGGTATTATAGTCAATTGACAGTTATTGCAGGTCATGATCTGAAAGTGTAATTTTTAAGTCCTTCAGGGTCTTTTGAAACGTTTGATGAATTGTATTTTAAAAACTGTCAATAGGCTGTTAAATTCTGTTTGTAATCTGTGTTTAGTTTGCACATCAATTGGACTTTAAGTAGGCATATGACTTGATATGGCCAGTTGGTGTCTGAATGATGCTGAAAATCTTTGGAGAATGAGGACAAATTATTACACTATTAAGGGAAATGTAAATTGAACAAAGACATATTTAAGCATTTGTGTGGTAAAGGGAGACACTGATGGCTACTTTTCATCTGCAGTTTGACCAATTTTTCTACTAAAACTCTGAGTATGCAAAGAAGAATTGAGATCTATAATTATCTTGGGTAAATGAGAGCCTTATATAGAAACCTATTTACGTCATTGATGGTTACTATTATGTTGAGCATAAAGTGAAGGTTTAGGGAAAAGATAAACAGCAATTAATTTAATATATGTTATGTAATATAGCAAAGTCATATGATGAGTATAGTATAAAAATGCATATACGTCAGAGTAATTTTGGAAGGCTAACTGAAAAACTTGTAGTTTAAAAGGGGATGCAGAGGCCATTTTTTAATTCAGTGTTTACTCTGTATTGAGGCTTCTCTAATAAATTAATAATCACAGAAGGAAATTTCATAACTGAAAAGTTGGGTTTGACAGATTGCTCCTTGAAAGGATTTAGAGGTAGTGAGCCATAAGTAAATTGATAGGGGGAAAGTTTAAAATATTTTTTTAATATTCTATGGGGATTTGCAGTCATAGGAAGTAGACTATGTTCTCCTTGGTTTCCATGCAGAATTTAAGTTTCTAACCCTTTTTAAACCCTTGTGTAATTCTATTAACAGTACATTTTATGGTTGTTTTTATCATGAATATTGGTGACTGTTGTGTTATTTATATAGGAGCTCCTTCAATTGAGATGACCACTTTAGTGTTGCATGAGACCTGTTAAGTGTGTTTTATTATATTGCACAATTTTGGTGTTTGTTGTTGTTGTTGTTGTTGTTGTTGTTAATGGCTTTAATTCAACTATCATTGTTGAGCCCAGGTGACAGACCTTAAGTCAACTAATAGCATTTTTTTCTAGCCTGCTTTTTGCACTAAAAGTATGTGTTTTGAAAGTTTGTATTACTGTTACTGTTGTTTTGAGGAATAAGATTTAGGGGAACTCTGAATATACTTCCAATTGATTCATTGTTGTCCACTAGCTGTTGTGATCTTTGAAGCAAGAAAAAATGAGGGGACAGCAAAGAAGATAAAAGGATATTATTAATAGTGGATAATTGTATGTGGGATCAACATAAACACTATCCATTGTAGATTTCTCTATGTAATAATTTAGGAAAATTATAAGCAAGGATGTTTCAGAACATCTGTTAAATATTACTGGTTTCTGGGCTTCTGTCCAAATGAAGGCAAGATTACTGTTGAGGCAGTAGTTTAAAATACATTGTAAAATACTATGGTTTACTTATCATAGTGATGTTAATATCTGTAATATTAGGCTAACCGCCCCAGCCTCTGCTCAAAGATGTTTACTCACAAATCCCAACCTCATAAGGGGTAAGTAGACAACAATTTTAATTTGTTACAGTTTTCATGATGACATATCTGCGGCTACCACAAGTGTAATGTGGATAACACTTGAAAGATATTAATTAAGAAATTTAAAATGTGTGAAAACTATTTCACCTTACATAAGAAAACAAACAGAATTCTAGATACTACTCAATGATGTTGATATTTGTTATTAAACTGAAAATAGTTTGAATATTTTGATAGGGGAGTTACTCCTTATTGATAAAGGATTCAAATTAGAGCCACAGCATTCTTCTTAGAGATTATAACTAAAAGGGTAGAACATATTCCAAGGGGCACCTGGGTGGCTTAGTTGGTTAAGCATCAGACTCTTGGTTTTGGTTCAGGTAGTGATCTCGAGGATATGAGATTGAGCCCTGCATTGGGCTCCGCACTCAGTGCAGAGTCTGCTTCAGATTCTCTCTCCCTCTGCTTCTGCCCTCACTCACACACTCTCTCTCTAAAATAAATAAATAAATAAAATATTTTTTTAAAAAAAGAACATATTCCAAGTCTTATTTTCTTTTTCTTTTTTTCCAAGTCTTATTTTCTTTAATAATTCTGAAGCTTAGTGAATCTACATCCCGTCTTAACAGGACCACTGTTAAGTTAGATGCTACTAACACATCAGTATATTATAATGATTAAAAAGAAAGTTACTTATTAAACAAAATGATGTTTTGCATAAAGATTTTTATTTATTTTTATGGGTAAAACAAATTGCATCTTATAAATATTTTGAGAGTGAGAGCAAGAACAAGGAATAGATAAAAGTTTATGGATATAGGAATATTTTAAAAAGTATAAAGCAATACTAAATCCTAGGTACCATTAATTGCCCAAAGAGATATTAGGATATAATAAAACTTGATTTAAAAAAAAAAGCCAACAAGAAAGAATTCAGATAATTTTTTTTTTACTCTTTCATAGCATCAATTTTGATGTGATTTTCCTTTTCCAGATGTAGCAATTTAACATGCACTGTCTCTTTTAGGACTGGATCTGCCATTTATGATGATGCCTCATCCCCTACTTCCAGTCAGCTTACCTCCTGCATCAGTTGCCATGGCAATGAATCAGATGAACCATCTTAATACTATTGCCAACATGGCTGCTGCAGCCCAGATTCACAGTCCACTCTCCAGAGCTGGGGCCTCTGTTATAAAGGTAAGAACCATGATTTGGAAGAGGACATGGGTTTTAATTACATGTAAATTTTGAGAAAATATTAGCAATACCACTGAATCTTCAGTATAAACACACAGCTCATTGACTCAGTTGCTTAGCATATAGTATTGATTTTATTCCTGACTAGGCCTGCTAAAGTGTTTTGTTGTTTGTTTGTTTGTTTTTATTCCATGACCACAGATCTCACCTTTAATTCTAGCTTCATGTCTTGTAATCATGAACACAGTGTGTGGGAGGCATAGCAAGACTAATGACACAGAATAGTGTACAGAAATCATTACCATTGCTAGGGTGAAATAAATAAGCACTGTGTTCTTTTTGGTGTTTGGGAGGCAGTTCTGGGGTAGTATATACCATGCAGGACTTGTAGTCAGAAAGACCTACATTTTGATTCTGATCCTGCCACTTTAGCTCAATAACCTTGGATATGACATTTAACCTGCATGAACTTGTTTCCTCAACTGTAAACTAAATGTTATAGTAATGATCTATCCCACTTACTTCATTGGCTGTCCAGAGATAATGTGAGTAAAACATAGGTTAAAATCTGTGAAACATTAATAGCATTATCATCATTAGAATACTAATTTTTTCAAAATTTCATGACCATTGGGTAATGAAACACAAAAAATATTTTATAATCTGTCCTGATGTCTTCTTTTAGTTTGGCATAGTGCCTCTCTGCCCTCTCTCCAAGTATGATGTAAACTTGGTTTTTTAATATTTTTTTTTCTTTTGGCAAGGAGGTGATATAAGGGTACATAGGATCAAAAGAGTATAGTTAATAAGAGCAACCCATTAACTTGTCCCTTTGTTCTTTTATTTTTTTCAACAAATATTATACTCTTGATGTTTACATATTGTATTGGGCAATATGGGATATAGGTAAAGAAGACATAATCCCTGACTTCCAGTACTCACAAACTAAATGTGATATAAACAACAAGTACCCATTTAGCTTGCAATAACAAGACAGACTGTGATGAATGGCATAGAATATCATCACGTGTTACAGGAATTAGAGGAGGGACTTATTATACTTAGCTTGGCAAAAAGAGGGGGAAAAGATCACGAAAAGCATTGCAGTTGTTGGATTTGACCTGGACCTTGGCAATATTGATATGATTGTAATAGATGTACATGGGGGAATGTAAAAGAAAGAGGAAATGTGAAATTCTGGATATTTTTTTTTTCATTTTAAATTAGCTTCCAGTTTTGGGGATTTTTAAAATAATGAGGAAAATCTGTGACCTAAACTTTGTAAGAAAGGACAAGAAAAATTGATAATTTTTTATTAAGCTCCATATATATTTATATGGCCAGGTAGAAGTATGCTTCCCACAAAGATTTTAGCCCACAATAGATCAGTCTATCATAGCTAATCAAAACTTTGTTGTTTGAATATTTGATCAGAGGCTAAACTAGGAAACAGAATTATCTTTGAGAAAAAAATCATCCATGAACATATTTAAAAGATGGAATAAGTTTCCCATGATTTTGAAATTGGGTGACCTACTAAGTAAATGTGACCTCACACAATATTAGAAAACTATTAAGAAAGAAAGCATGTTTTAAAGTACTTGCTTTGAAATGATGAAAAACCACTTTCAGTAGAGGTATGTTTATGGCTTTTCAAAAATAGATTTATTTAGCTTTCTTAATGATGATTATTCAAACTGAATCAGCTACATTTTGGTTGAATGCTTGGGACATTTGGTAGCTTCACCATTATTTGGAGTGAAGAGGCATTTGGGGAGGAGTTCATGACTAGCATTTTGTTATTGGTGGTGATGATGATGGAAATGGAAAGAATAATTATCTTCTCCTTAAATAATCCAAATATTGTTAACATAGTAAAGCAATAAAACTATATTTTCTACTGCTGATTTGTTTCATATGCAACTTTAGAAAAAGTCAGAACCTTTACAGACATAAAACTGGATATTGCTTTTTAAAAGTTGATATTAGATAACATGCTTATTTAAGTCTTAACAAATATGAAAATTAGATCTACTTTCATATAATTGTTTTGACCAAAGTCAGTTGAAAACAATATATTTATTTTGAATGCTCTTTGATAAAATTTTTCTACAGATCTATAGAAGTAGATTTCCATCAGAGGATGATAGGGAAATGAAGAAAATAAAGTTTTATTTTGTTTTGTTTTTAAAGAGTTGATTTCCGTGAATAGTGAGAAGCTTTTGACATTGTTTCCACGTTGTGTTTATTTTTTTGCGAAGATATTATTATATGATTGTAACTATTAGTTTTAAAAATAATTCACAGGAAATAGCATAATAAAAACTTTCTAATTAATTGCCAAATGGGTGTTAATATATTGAAATTTTTAGCACTCCTTTCAAGAATAGTTATCAATATGATACTAAGCTATTTCACATTTCAGTTGATGTATATTTTAATAGAAATGTGTTTTCAATATGCTTCTTGGTGAAGAACACTTTCAAGTTCAATCTATTAGAATCCTACTGGCAGTGGGCAAACCTATGTAATTCAGACCTTTTCATATACTACTATTTGGAGGCTATGGGGACTATTTAAACAAAACGTTTTCTCTGTTTACATTTACAGATTTTTAAGTTTTTATTTGACTTTCAGTTAGTTAATAGACAATATAATATTAGTTTCCAAATCTACAACATTGAGATTCAACACTTCCATACGGCACCCAGTGCTTATCACAGCGAGTGCACTCCTTAATCCCTATCACCTATTTAATTCATCCCTCCACCACTCTCCCATCTGGTAACCACCAGTTTGTTTTCTATAGTTAAGAGTCTGTTTCTTGGTTTGCCTTGCTCTCTTTTTCCAATATGCTTATTTGTATTGTTTCTTAAATTCCATATATGAGTGAAATCATATGTTTTTTGTCTTTCTCCAAATGACATTTCACTAAGCATAATACTCTCTGCTCATCCATGTCATTGCAAATGACAAGATATCATCTTTTTTATAGCGGAATAATATACCACTCTATACATATATACCACTTATTTATCCATTCATCAGTTGATGGACACTTGGGCTCTTTCCATGATTTGGCTATTGTAGATAATGCTTCTATAAACACCGGGGTACAGATATCCCTTTGAATTAGTATTTTTGTATTCCTTGGGTAAATACTTGGTAGTGCAATTGCTGGATTGTAGGATGGTTCTATTTTTGACTTTTTGAGGAACCTCCATACTGTTTTCCAGAGTGACTGCACCAGTTTGCATTCCTACCAACAGCACAAGAGTGTTCTCCTTCCTCCACATGCTCACCAGCACCTGTTGTTTCTTTTGTTGTTGATTTTAGCCTTGCTGACAGGTGTGAGGAGATATCTCATTGTACTTTTGATTTGCATTTCCCTGGTGATTGATGTTGAGCATTTTTTCATTTTTCTGTTAGCAATTTGTATGTCTTCTTTGGAAAAATATCTATTCATGTCTTCTGTCTATATTTAATTGGATTATTCCTTTTGGTGGTGTTGAGTTTTATAAGCTCTTTATATATTTTGGATACTAATCTTTTATCAGATATGTCATTTGCATATATCTTCTCCAATTCCTTAGGTTTCCTTTTAGTTCTATTCATTGTTTCCTTCACTGTGTAGAAGTTTTTTTTATTTTGATTTAGTCCCAATAGTTTATTTTTACTTTTGTTTCCCTTGCCTCAGGAGCAAACCTAGAAAACCAATGTCAAAGAGGTTACTGCCAGTGTTTGCCTCTAAGATTTTAAAGGTTTTATGTCTCACATTTAGGTCTTTAATCCATTCAGAGTTTATTTTTATGTTTGGTGTAAGAAAGTGGTCCAGTTTCATTCTTTCCCAAGTTGTCCAGTTTTCCCAACACCATTTGTTGAAGAGACTGCCTCTTTCCCATTATGTATTTTTCCCTCTTTAGCAAAGATTAATTGACCATATTATTGTAGGTTCATTTTTGTGATTTGTCTTTTGTTCCTTTGATCTATGTACTTGTTTTTGTGCCAGTACCATACTGCTTTGATCACTACAGCTTTGTAATATCACTTGAGGTCTGGAATTGTGATGCCTCCGCCTTTGCTTTTCCTTTTCAAGATTGCTTTGGCTATTCAGGGTCTTTTGGGGTTCCATACAAATTTTAGTATTGTTTGTTCTAGCTCTGTGAAAATTGCTGTTGGTATGTTGATAGGGATTGCATTAAATGTGTAGCTTGCTTTGGATAGTATAGACATTTTAACAATATTTATTCTTCTAATCTATGAGCATGGAATGCCTTTCCATTTCTTTGTGTCATCTTCATCAATGTTTTATTGTTTTCAGAGTACAAGTCTTACACATTTTGGGTAGGTTTATTCGTAAGTACCTTATGGATTTTGGTGCAATTATAATTGGGATTGATTCCTTAATTTCTCTTTCTGCTACTTCTTTTTTGTTGTATAGAAATGCAAGAGATTTCTGTACATTGATTTTTATCCTGTGACTGTATTGAATTTGTTTATCACTTCTAGCAGGATTTTTCTTTTCTTTTCTTTTCTTTTTTGTGGAGCCTTTTCAGTTTTCTACACATAGTATTATGTCATCTGCAAATAGTGTAAGTTTTACCTTTCCTTTGCCAAGTTAGATACCTTTTATTTCTTTTTGTTTTCCAATTGCTGTGGCTAGGACTTCCAGTACTGTGTTAAATAACAGTGGTGATAGTGACATCCCAGTCTTTCTACTGACCATAGAGGAAAATCTATCAGTTTCACCCCATTGAGGATGATAATATCTGTGGGTTTTCATATATGGCCTTTATTATGTTAAGGTATGTTCTTTTTTTTTTCTTTTAAATATTTATTTCTTTAAGAGAGAGGGAGAGAGAGAGCATGAGAATGGGGGAAGAATCAGAATCCTCAAGCAGACTTCCCGTTGAGTGCAGAACCCGACTCAGGGCTTGATCTCAGGACCAGTGAGATCATGACCTGAGCCAAAAGCAAGAGTCAGACACAGTCAACTAAGC